AATCCCCTTAGCCGGATGCGGGGTGAAGCGGGCACTAGCCCTCGGGCCGAGAGAGGAGGGCGCAGGTGGCGCGCCAGCTGCCTCTAGAGGGGGCTCCAGCCCCGCGGGGAGCGGGGCACCGCCCCTTCCGGCCCGCCCCCGGCTCCTCCCAGCGCCTGGTCTGCTCCTCCCGCCCCGCGGGGTGGGCGGGCCGCAGAGCTGTGTCCTCCGAGATCTCGCCTCGCGTTCGCCAACGTCTCCTGACTCCAGGAGGCAGCTCTGACCTCAGCAGATGCGCGTCTACACCCCACTCGCACGCACGCGCGCTTGCTCAGACACGCGGGCACGCTCGCGCTCACTTCCCACGCGGACGGCCCCTCTTCCCGTCACCTGACAGTCCCCTGCGGACATCCGACACCAATCCCCCCTCCCCAGGCCTCTAGCGATCTCCCTCCCAGTTCCTCTGCCCTCGCCCGACCCCGGCCTCCTGACGCCCCGTGAACTCCGGCGGGAGCCCCTATGGCAGCCCCTCTGCCCCCGGCGGCCGTCGCCACCCCGCACTCAGCCCACACGCAGACCAGCGTCACCGGCTGGAACTCGGTGTCTCCACTTCCGAGCCCTGGCCGGCTGCTTAGCCTCACGGCCCACCGCCCCCTTCCTGGACCGCTCCGTGCTGCCCACGGAACCAAACCGCAGGCGGTCCCCAGACTCGCCCTTCACGCGCCCGCTTCTATGCCTTTGCCATCCCCGCTCCCTGGAATGCCTTCCTTCCCGCAGCTCTGTCTACCAAAAGGCACAGCCATTCTTCAAAGACTAGCTAAGGGGCCATTTCCCCCAAAAGCCCCAAATTCATAATGGCAGCCTCAGGGGGAGAGCCGGGAATGGACCTTGGGCGAGGAAGGATTTCAACTCTGTGTATCATCTACCATCCACCCATCCATCCCTTAGTGGGAAAAACAATTTACAAGCAAATTAACACGAACCTATATTGCTTCTTAGCTGCAAAGATAAAAAGATTATAAACACCAAAATTTAACAGGCTGTGTGTGTGTGTGGAGGTGAGGAGTTTGGACTAACAGATCATCACTTTCTTTAAACTTGGCAGTTGCCACATTGACTATAATTGAGCGTGTCTTTAAAATAAAACACCAAAAATATTGTAAATGTTAGAAATCTGGAATGGAAATCAAGAATATGCAAATAGCCCTGGCTGGTCTGGCTCAGTGGTAAGAGCATCGGCCCTCGGACTGAAGGGTCCCCGGTTGGATTCCGGCCAAGGGCATGTAGCTGGGTTGCAGGCTCAGTCTTCGTCCTCAGTCAGGGCTTGTGAGGGAGGCAACCCATCGATGTGTCTCTTGCACCTCTCTCTCTCTCTCTCTCTCTCCTTTCCACTCTCTCTGAAGAGCAATGGAAAAAATATCCTCAGGTGAGAATTCAAAAAAAAAAAAAAATGCAAATAAATGTTGGCATTTTTCATATAAAAATAAACGTCAGTAATATAACTTTCAAATTTGCTCTAACAATGACAGTAACTGATGTTTGTTAGGCTCTGACTGTGCTGGTATGTTTTAAGAGTTTCACATTAATTATCTCATAAAATCCTCGTAGTCATTTCCCCATTGTACAGCGAAGGAAAGGGAACCTCAGAGAAATAAAGTCATTGCTCAAGGTCATACAGCCAGTGAGAGTCAAACCAAGTCTTCTGCCTGAAGGGCCATTACCATCGATCACATTCTTCTGCTCCCCCCAGGTCTCTGACTTGAAGGAATCACCCTGGTTTTCTGGGAGTGACCTTAAACCACCTACCAAGCAGCGAAGCACTGGCTCAGTAAGTCTTAGACTGAAAAAAACAAAGTGGCTTAAGCAAACCCCGGTCTCCATCACATCGTTGGCAGCTGGGTGCCTGGCTACAGCGCTAGGGAATTCTAAAATGTACTAGTTTATTCCCATGAATGCCAATTAGGGTTTCTGCCCCCAAAATCTTTCAACACAACACGTTCACTACACTCCAGGTTAAGCAACTGTCCAAATAAGAAAAGACGGAGTTAACAGCAGGACGCCTCGCGGCAACTGAACAAAACCCAAACCCCTCCTTCCAGGAAGAGGCCCTCCCAGCTCGGTCAGCCCAGAGCCTACCTGCCTCTTCCCCTGGAGACCTGCCGAGTCCTGGGAAGTGCAGACCGGCCGGTTCCCGGTACCTCTGACCCCTGACCCCTGGGTGACCCGGAAGTGCTTGCTGATCACAGCAGCAGCTCTTTAATTCGGAAGGCCCTCAAAAGCCTTATTTAACTCATCTTCCTTCTTTCTAACGGAGAATGAGAGGCGAAAAGGGAAGGACATCCTTTTCCACCTCTTAAAAACCTTGTCAGGGAGCCACGTCCCATAACCCACCGGCAGGAGCTTCCCATAATCCACTGGGAGGGGTCTCCCATCATCCCCCAGCCGATACTTCCCATTGTCCCCCAGGAAGGGTTTCCCATCGTCCCCCAGGAGGGGTTTCCCATCATGCCCAGCAGGGCCCTGGCACAGATGTAGCCCTGGGTGGAGCAGGGCGGGTTCAGGCCGCAGGGCCTCGGGTGAGTGGCGAGGAAGCAGCGCACGGCTCCTCCGAGCGCCATCTCCCCAGTAAGAAATTTCCTTCTTTCCTTTCTGACGTATAAATGAGAGATCCCGCCTCTCCCCACCTCACGCGCCAAGTGAAAACAGAGTGAGTGAAGACAACTCGGCCGTGGCCCGTCTCCACGGGTGCCTTCTGCCCCCACGTGGGGTTGCCCAGGGGAGAGAACGTGTCTTGGAAGCCCTCCTGGGGGTCCCCTTCCTGTCTCCCACACCTTTCCGACCCACCTCCAAGCTGGGGGGCCGGGCACCCTGGCGGTTGCCATGGTGACTACTGAGTCCCTGAGCCTTTCTTCTGGGCTCCCCAGGGCCACGCGGAGACAAGGCCTTAAGAGCTGAGGGGAGCCCGAAAAATGCAAACAGGGTGTTTTGTTTTTCATTTCAGCGTCTAGCAGCTGCTCAGATAAAAAGCAGGGACTTTCAACAAAATGAATTCAGACCCATCTTAACTATGCAAGTACGAGGTTATTAAATATTTGTATTCTTGCAAACTTAACTATTACATATGCACGTATGTAAACATACACTTATAGATATAGGTGTATAGATAGATAGTAGAAAAAAAGACAAGAATTGCAATTTCTTTTTTAAAAGTAGTTTTTCTGGCATTTAGTGGACAGGAGTCATACCCAGGGTTGGAATCCTAGCTCTGTTTACTTCTTTCCGAAGCCAATTTACCCATCTGTAAAATGGACATAATAGTGAGCTGCCCTCTTGGGGCTGTTGTGAGGTCTAAATAAGACGTTTATAATAAGCTTAGCATAGTACCCAGCACACTGTAAAGCACTGAGTACCTGTCAGCTAGTATTGTTATTAATTACACTGTTGTCACGAATAGAGTAAGCTAAGCACCTTTTCTCTATCAGTAGGTCTCTGGGGAGCTTTTGACAACAGTTTTGACTCACTTTCAATCATTTCTTCCTGAAGAGGATCACACTGCTAAAGAAGGTTCAGCCAGGTAACTGTGACCGTCAGAAATTAGTCTGTGACAAACAGTATGTTTAGCACATAAGCTTAAACATTAGCACTAAATACACATGATGGTGGGAAGAGACTGACGTCTCTAGAAATATATCAACACGCAGATTCTTAAGTGTAAGTAAGTATTTTAGCTGTTCAAGGTTATGTTTCTTGTATAAATGGCAACCAACAAGGAGGAAATAACCAGGTACATACACACCTTACCTAAGCTATGAGGGTTAATGGACGGATATTGAAAATACTGTCATCAAGAGAGAAAAACACATTCTTGTCCGCCCAGAGAGTAGGATTATCCAGTGGGGCAGCCAGGGCAGAGATGTGTCAGGAAATCCCACAGACTGGAATTACATGTCCAGCAGCAGCTCAAGGGTAGGGACTGTGACTCATCTCTGCTCCCCTCCCCACCACGTAGCACAGAGCCCAGCATGTAGTAAGTGCTCAAGCAACATAAGAAACTGAATGTTAGATACCGTTTTGCCACAGAGCTGTACTTTATGCAACACATGGGGAAGAAAAAAACAAAAGTAGAGTACATCAATTTTTAATTCTTTTTTTTAAGATCTAGTTTTTTTTTATTCTTCTTAAATCACATTCCATTTTCCAGGGGTGCTCTCAATACATCAGTTAAATAACCATAGCTGGGTGTGCTGCATCCCTAGAGCACAGTCTGGGGCTGGGGGCGGGGGAGGAGGGAGAGACTATGAGGAAATGAAAAAAGAAAAGCATAGACCCATTCGGGGCAAATTCAACATGAATCCATGCAGTTGAAAAAAACTAGCCGAACTGTGATACCTTATGGCTCCATGTTCGTCCCCATTCTAAAACGGGTATCGCTCTTTACCAGTGAGTGTGTGAGGTTGGCTCTGCTTTTGATATTACAGATGACCCTGCTCTGGCCAGCAGTGGTAGTGGGAGACCCCATAGAAAAGGGG